CCCCCCCCCCATTCCTAATTTACAATTTTTATCAATATTTTATAGTTTTCTTGTGTCAGGATAAAGTTTGGATTATGTTTAAGAATTGGTTTGTATTCTTTAAATGTTACTACAATTTTTATTGCAATTTGTCTGCATGATATCACTGCAACTATATTCCACGCAAATTCTATGCCATTTTATTTTATTTTAATCAGCATATTTTTTTACTGTTTCTCATTTATAATTTTGGTTCTTTTGTAGATAATTATTCATGTTTTTGATGTATTTTGTTTTCATATAATAACAACCAGGTTTGAAGGATTTATGCCCAGCAAAAAAATTAGAAAAATTTACATTTTCTAATTTAATTTCAGTTTTATATACAATTCAGAAACTCTTCTTGTCTATTTGTCGGATCACACGCATTGTTTTAAAATTTGAAGAAAAAAATTTGATATTTGTATGGAGATGTTATTTTTTTGTTTGAATAATTGTGTTTAGGAGCATACCACGATAAGACGGACGAGCTTGGGAAGGTTTTATCTGATCATTATCTTTTTGGATCCGTGGTTGCATCCGTTCTTGTTATTGTGGTTACAGCTCAGGTACATGGTGCCACACTGCCTGGTTCTTCATACTTTTTATAGCTTTAAGCCAAACCAGGCCCGTATATGGGGGGGCACAGGGGCACATGTCCCCTCCTTAAACAGGAAACACAATCTGAGACAAAAAAAGAAGAAAATGAAAAGAAAGAGAAAGAGGGAGAACATCGGCATAAAATCTAATTTTTGTTACCAATATTATATGTAAAGGATTATTTTTTCTTCAAATTAAAGACAAATTTATTTCTAGCCTGTCTTGTTTTTTGAGAAGCTTATCCTTTTCCCTTTTTTTATCATGGGAGTTAGCCCCGATGAGGGTCTGGGATCTCCAAGATGGGGGGGGGTTCATATCCTCCCTTATCCTTATCCTATTGAACCATTGTACAGCAAAAAGTAGCATAGAGAAACGTTAAAATTATGTATAAAATATGGCCAGGTATAGGAGAAGCTGTTTATACTCAGCCCAAAGCTTGAAGGGGAGTTTTTTCGAATTTTAGCTTTGGGAAATCTGAAGACTTTCATGCTTGAGCTTTTATTGGTCTTCACAGGCATTTACATCCTGTACTGTTACTGTATTATAAATAAGTATTGGCTATTCAGTAGTACAGTTATTTATAGTTAAACTCAAATCTCATACCTCCAGTTTTTTCTTCTTCTTTTTTGATGTAAATAGCTTCTCAATAGCACTTTTAATATTAGAATATATCTTGTTATTTGGTGAAATCATGAAATTTTTTATCTTTTTTAGCCAATATCATGTTTTTTTCCAATTTTCTAATGTATTTGACCGGAAAATTTTATTTTTTAAAATCGTGGGCAACTTATATTTGTCGCATTATTAACTTACTTTTACATTATCATAAACAATGGCAACAAATATTGTTTAATTAGAAGATCTTTTGACTGATCTGTATTTTTTTAGTGAATTATGGTTGACTGTTCTTTTGTTTTAAATTCTGTTCCCCCTTTCGGAATCTGAAAGGAGTAGTCTAAAACCATTATTATATCTCTAGGTAGCCCTGGATACTCAGTACTGGACTATCTGGAACCATCTCACAATCTGGGGTTCTCTAGCATTCTACTTTGCTCTTACACTTTGTTACAACTGGTTCTTTAAAGGGATATATGTTGGTTCCCTTCTTACTGCAATGTCAGATCATACTTTTTGGTAATTAGTTTAAAAATAAAAGGACTAGTAACACAATTGAATTTTAGTATCTGTAAACATATTTGCAAAATAGATTAAATTGTTAAAATAAGATTGGTTCTTTATGCAACTTTAATGGAAGTAAAAAATTAAGGGTCTGTCACTTTTTAGAATATGCAACTAAGGAACTTGTTAGTGTTTTTTCCACTTCGATAAATGAAGAAAGAAATCTAACCTTTTTAATTCTTAAACTTTTTCAGGTTTGTCGTATTATTGACGACAGTTATTCTAATCCTACCTGTAGTAGCCTGGAGATTCTTCAATGTAGACGTGAGACCTACACTGGCCGACAAGGCTAGGCTAGTCCAGAGGTCAAATAGACTAAAGAAGAAAGGAGAGTCTGGGATACCCAGACCGTTCTCAGGTTGGTTTATAGTTTAAATATTTCTCCCCCCCCCCCNCGTTTATTCCGAGCCGTATTTGATTAACTTTAACATTTTACATAGGAATAAACGTTTTATTCCGAGCCGTATTTGATTAATGTTTAATATTTTACATAGGTATAAACGTTTATTCCGAGCCGTATTTGATTAACTTTAACATTTTACATAGGAATAAACGTTTTATTCCGAGCCGTACTTGATTAATTTTTAATATTTTTCTATTCTGTAAACAGATTTGAGCTTGGGTTCCCTCAATATTCATACTTTAATAAATCAATATTCATATTCAGCAATTCATTTTCAACTAGCGGATTTTTATTCAACTCTTTTATTATTAAAGCACATTTGCTTCGTTCATTTATTATTTGTGGAAAATATAGCATTTGTAAATATGTCTTAGAATTCAAAACCCTAGAAGAATATTTTTTGTTCTTAAAAATGATTCCAGAAAAATATTTCATCCCTAATCTTATCCTGACTGGTCTAACTTGTATGTCTGCTTGTTATAGGACGAAGAAGTCGGAGATCTGTACGCTCTGGATACGCATTCTCACATTCTGAAGGATTTGGTCGACTTATTACAAGTGGGCGTATTATTAATAATGGATCTGCGACTCATGTTCTTGGAAATGGGCAAACAAGGTAAACTTCTACTAACTTTTATATTAATATTAAAATAGTAATATTAATGGATGTAAATCTTCATAAATTTACTATACTGACTGTACAGTTTACAGTGTACAAAAAAAATGTATGACATCTGAAAATTTTAATTTTAACACATTATTTCAACAAGGAAAAACAAGTAATTTTGACGAGATATAAAATATTTTGTAGGGATTATTATTTTTTAGAAATGTACCCTAGGTGTATAAAAGTTGTATACCTTTATGCTCAATTAACTGATGGAAATTGAATTTTTAAACCCTTTAAATACATATTTGTTTGAAAAGTTTGCTTGAGAATATTTCCAGATTTCGGGGGCGTAGAAGTCACTACAATACATTCATCAGATCTAATTTGGAGATTTCAACTGTAGGTTTCATGTTGTCTTCCTTCCTTCTAGGTTTAGGGTTTAGATTTTTCATTTTTAGAATTTGTCCTTTGTCGTCGCGTCCTATGGCCTTCTTTTCATAGGCGTAGTCGAGTGGGGGGGGGGGGCACCTACATAAAAATACTTTAAAATCTCACTTTTGCCCTAAATTAAAAAAGTTTCATTAAAAAAGCTTTAATCAGTGTAAATATTTCTTTGATATCATTATTTATAATTTTACAATATGTATCGTATCTATGAAAATATAGATATTTTTAAGAAACGTTTCCATCTCTATTTTCCCCCATTGAAGCTTACACCACAGTATTGAGGAAGTGTCTGAGGAGTCCACTTAAAAAAATTAAAATATATAATTTATCAACACTTGTAATATGTAAGTGTGTATATGATCGAATAGTTTACATATATAAAAAGATATCAATATTTTTTCAAAAAAGGTGTTTTTAAGGGAGAAAAGCACAAAAAAATTTCGCGCAAAACTGTCCTCCCCTCTAACAAATGCTCTAGTACGCCCCTGTTCCTATAATAATATTACAATGTTGGTCGTATTGGATTCTTTTGGCGTTCTACTAAGTCTTCGAAGAAAGAGGTTTAAAAATAGCTAATTTGGGGTTTCTTTTTCATTTTTTGAGAGAGGTAAGAAGTTGATTGGAAGGTAGGAGAATTCAGTTTAATGTCAGTTAATTTGTCAGAAGAATTAAAATGCAGGTTGTAATTCGCATTTATATCTCTCATAATTCCCGGTTTACCAGTCTAGTAGGTTAACTAAGCTGTTTGTTCTAGTCCTGGTTAAGGTCTATTGCGAACCTGTTTTTAGAATTTTACTTGCAACAAGACGTATTACAAAAGAAAATGTTAATTAGGATGTGAGTAAAATCGTTAAAACTAAAACAAAGGCATTGCTTATAATTATAATGAAATAAGATATGTTGGTGTCATATATATATATGCTGGGACAAAAAAGGGTGAATTGACTTAAACTTTATTAAAGAAAACTTTTAAAGTTATATATTTTTCCCGACGAAGCTTTTTTTACAACAATACTGTTATTGGGTTTGACTTTTGGTAAACCGTTGATAGATCAAACTTAATTTGTTTGATCTAACAAAATTTATAGTATTCATAGTTTTAAATATCTAAGGTCTACAACATTGGATTGCAAAGATATAATGTTCTACTAGTGTAAACTTTCGTAAAAGATATTTAATATTAAATGTCTATAGTGACAAACCTTATAAATTTTTTGTTAACGCCAGATTTAACATTTACAATGAGTCATAACAATCATTACGATAAAAAGACGACCGAGCATGCGTTTCTTATTAAAATTAAAAATTCTACTGTGAATGAAAAAAAATTTTAATTGCAATTATATTTTTTCAACTAAAACACTTCATAAAAATAAAATGTTTAATATCAAGTTTTAGTGGGGAAATTTGTCACTGTTCATGGTAAAGGGTAGTTTATAATGTTTACATCATCATTATTTTTATCTAGATCCAATATCATTTATACATGTTTTAAAAAATCATCCGCTATGGAATATAAAAATGCGGGTAAAACTTTATAACAGGCTAGCGCCAGCACGTTGGTTGTGCACTAGCGTTAAAATATCGGATTGGAATGATAATGGATCCTAATTTAAGTATTGTCAGTCCTCTATCTTGTTTAAAAGCAGTGTTAAGGATTTGGATCTGTAACATTTTGGCGACCTGGATCAAAATATTGACCAAAACCTGCGTTAACTAAACTTCTTGCTCTCAATCCCACAAAACTAGTAACTAAATTTAACTTAAAAAGACAAATAAATGTGGGGAAAAAATTCTAACAGCAATGTTCCGGATCCACTTTATTCAGAATGGATCTGCATCAAAATGTGTTATTACAGGAGTAAAAACTGATTTTACTAAAATATTGTTATTACAGGAGTAAAAACGGATTTTACTAAAATATTGTTATTACAGGGGTAAAAACGGATTTTACTAAAATATTGTTATTACAGGAGTAAAAACGGATTTTACTAAAATATTGTTATTACAGGGGTAAAAACGGATTTTACTAAATTATTGTTATTACAGGGGTAAAAACGGATTTTACTAAATTATTGTTATTACAGGGGTAAAAACGGATATGGTGGAAGAAAGCAGGGAACCTCCTACGGGGAACCAGGAGGAAAAACAACACTCCAGGATAAATCATCTCTTGGAGTCAATCATAAATCTTCCCCGGATGCGATCAACTACCACCATCAAGATGTTCCCGGGGTTCCAATGATAGAATAAATAAAATTCTTTTATAAAATTTTAACTGTTAAAGGGATTGCCAACGTAATTTTAAGTGAACCTTTAATTGACAAGTGCCACAGATGGTGCTATGGAAACGCCTCAACACGGAAACGTCTCAACGCGGAAATGCCTCAAAAACCGGTTTTGAGGAATTTCCGTTTTTTTTTGGGAAATCCCTCAAAACTGGAAAATGTTGAGGGATTTCCGAATATTTTTGAGGCGTTTCCTAATATTTAAAGTTGAGGTGTTTCCTCTTTTTTTTTGAGGCGTTTCCGTTTTTTTTTTA